TCTTCTGGTAAAATCATTCTGTTCACAAGAGTTTGCCTGTTCCACTTTACAATTATTTTAAAACAGTAAAATCCAAACAGGTGATGAATCACTTTTCCACTCCCCAGTGGAGGGGTACACAACACCGAGACACAGGCTCTGAGGCTGTGTAAACATCAGTGGGACGCACTAGAGGTGAAAAACAGAATCAGAAACTCAAACGAAACCCTCAATCCAGCATCCAGTACTGACTCTCAAGTGCCCTTGAAAATGAACCAGCAAATGCAAGTGTTTGAGCAACAACAAATTGGACTCTGAGTAATCACATTCGGCTGGTCTACAAGTGATTCAGGCAGCACCGCCTCTTGCTGTTATGACATGTTATGAAGGGTTACTGAGCTAGTGGGAAGAAACTCCAAGCCAACTCACTGCCACTGAGTCAATTCTGACTCACTGTGACCCTTTAAGACAGAGCAGAACCAGCCTTTTGGGTTTCTGAGGCTGTAAATCTTTGCCTGAACGGAAGGCCTCCATCTTTCTCCCGCAGATGGGCTGGTGGGTTCTCAGCCCCACACGGAACCCACTACGGCCTCCAGAGCCCCTGGATAAAATTCACTGGCATGGAGTTAATTCTGACATTTAGTGATCTTACTCTTGGGGAGACGTGTAAGGTTTTAATAGGAGGAATTTTTCATAGCAACTGGGTCAGCAAGGCGGGGTGAGAGGAAGGCGGCACAGGAAAACAGACGCAACACAAAACCCAGCCAACGTGGGCCCGGTCGGTGAACACGAGGGAAAAGAACACCAAGCCTTCCTTTGCTGTCTGTGGTGTTCCAGAACACAGTGGTTGAATCTGGCTGATTTGGGCATTGGGCTAACAGCTTGGGATCAATTCCTTTGTCCACTGATAAAATCCTTTCTTCTGGTAAAATCATTCTGTTCACAAGTTTGTCCTTTCCACTTCACAATAAAGGGCAAGGGTTGGGACTGACCATCCACCTGAGCAGTTAAAGGCCACTGTGCACTGCTGAAGTACTCTAGTTATGAACCCTCCTTTGGAGAAAGCAATCAGCAAGGAGTTCTTGATCTGTGTGTTCTCAATCGCCCTGAGCATCACGGAAGCACGGAAGCTTTCCAAAATCTCACTATCAAGTGGAAGAGCAAAACTAACATCTGTGTGGCAACAGCATGGAAAGCTATCATTATGAGACGACCATGCGGTATCGTCTAAGGATCAGCAAGAATCTCAAGAGGTGGGGCCTAAAGTGGAGGGCGAGAGAGGGCGGGATATCCTTGGGCAAAATCTACCCAATTGAAAAGCAAGACACGTTAGGGCGATGGATTCTGGTTGCCCCTGTACTGTCCTTATTTGATGGAACCACTTCCACCCGTCAAAGATAAACAAAGTAGAGGGGGCGGGGTCCTTTCAGCTGTGGTTATGCAGTTACCTGGCTCCCTAACTCTCGGCCAGCAAACCGCTACCACATCCGAAGCCCAACGTACTGTTTTCTCTTTTTAGAACCCAAATATGTCCGTCCACCTCCAACAGCTGCCAAGAGCTGGACCAGTCTGGGCAGCCAAGCCGAGTCACATTACAGCCACGACAGACCGTATATCGCCGAGGGTACACGTGCACTGGGGCTCCCGGGCGCTTTCCAGAAGACGCACCCCAGAAGCCCAGCGGGTGCAGGGCAAATCTGAAAGCAAGCAGCGCAGAGCGCGGGCCCGCCTTCCACTGGGCGACTGTCAGAAACGTGTGTCCAGAATGGCCCCGCCACTCCAGCGCCTTGCTCACTCCTTCTGCTCTCGCCACCCCCCGCCGCCGCGCGGCCCCCCACCCCGCGGGCTGGGTTCGCCGTCCTCCCCCCTCCCCCCCGCCGGCCGGCGGTGCGTACCTCGAGGTTGGTGAGGTTCTTGTCCGGCCCCAGCAAGTAGGGGGTCAGGAAGGGCTCGGACGGTCGGAGGCTGGCGAAGAAGCCGTAGACGCAGAGCAGCGCAGTGGGCAAGAACCAGCACTCGCGAGGGACCCGAGCCGTGCGCAGGAGCATGGTGGCCGCCGCCGCCGCCGCCCGCCGGGACACGGGGCCCGGCGCATCCATCCGGGGAGCGAGGGGCGGGGACCCGCCCGGCCCCTTCCTTCTCCTCCTCTTTTTCCCGGGCCAACGGGAATCAGGTTCAATGGCGGGCCCCGCACGGGCACCTTCCGTGGAGAATGGCGCCTCCTACCGGCAGGGCTAGCGCGCCTAAGACGCATCCACCGCCGGCGGCCGCAGCGCCCCGGGCCTGCTGCCCCTGCAGCGGCTCCCTCACGTGTCGCCGCCCCGCCGCGCGGCCCGAACCAGACACGCCCTACGGCCCGCCCGCCGTCTACACCCTTCAGCCCGGGAGCCAATCACAGCGGGCGCCAACATTTCGGCTGCTTTCTATTGGTCGGCAGCTGTCCGCCCCTCTGAAGTCGCGGCCCGGCAGTCGGGAACGGCGGCGGCTGACGTCCTCTGGCTCCGGCACGAAGGGCGTGAGCGGCTCTGGTCGGTGCGGTGGCTTCTCTACCTCGGGCGCGCGCTCGGCGTGCGGCGGGTCGCCCTCCCGCACCGGATCGGCTCGGTCTCCCTCCCGACTGCCGCTGCCCTGTCGTGCACGCCCCTCCGGGCCCAGCCGCCCACCCAGAGGGATACGAGCGCCCTCTGATTGTCTCCGTCTCTCGGATGTCCACGTTGTGTCTCCCAGAGACTTGGTTTCCCCGAACGGTTAAAGATTTGACCTTGGGGCAGCTGGCTGCGAGGGCTTTCCTCTAGCAGCTTATCCAGGCCGCTGGCGAACGAACTGCTCAGGGCGCTAACCGAGAGTCAATGGAAGGAAGTGGAACGAAATAGCGTGTGAAGAATGAGCAAGCTAGTCACGTAACCAAAAAGACGGTGATGTCTTTCCAATTAAAGCTTGTATTTTTTTTTTGTTGTTTTTTTCCCCAACAGACAGGAGCAGTTAAACACATCCCTGTCAATCTAGCCAGTGGTTAAAAGGAAAGTGGCAGAATGCATCATTAGAGCCAGTTACCAAGAGACATGGTCGGTCTCTGCATTACAGAGGAAAATGTAGGTCTTGGCATAGTTTTCAAGGGCGAAGCATGACAAGAATCCCTGGTGCTTTCTTTCATTCCCCTCTGTGCCGTCTTAGCCTGACTCACAGCTCCAGTCTGTCCCAATTCTTCCACTGCAGACTTCGCCAGACCACTTAAACCATTTTTCTCTCTGATGTTTGTACAGCAACAGATCCTGCTAGAAGCACTCCGAAAACATTTTTGAACTCTATTTTTCCTTAATCTATGATATGAGCCAGCTAACTCATTTTTCCTACTGTGGCAGCAAATTACTGGATTTTTGTTTGTTTTTTCACACGTAGGATACATCATTAACAACTATGAATCTTTCAGGTGCAACAGATACCACAGTAAAAAGAAAGATTTCCACCTCCACACTCCCCCAGCTGTATTATTGATTGCAGAGTCAATTAATCTTTGAAGATATTCAATTAGTGGTATTCATGTCTCCCCACATTAAAAAAAAAGCACACCCATTGCTAGGTTGATTCCAACTCATGGTGACTATAGAACACAGTAGAACTACTGTGTTTCCAAGGCTGTAAGCCTGACATTAGGAAACCAACCACTATGTTTGTTCTCTAGCCACATTCTTCTCTATTCTAAGCACTGGCCTTTCAGGGAGCACTTAAGCCACGCTCTGTTGTCAGGAAGCCCTGCGAGTAGAAGGGACAAGTTCGGAGGTTCCAGAAGACCAAACAATGTTCATAGTAATACCAAAGCCTCATTTCCTTTTCCATACCAGAGGCTATATACAGTGCGATAACATGACTTAGAAGAAGAAGCAAACGTGTGCTTGTATCATCTTGTGTTTCACATTTTCAGGTTTAATATTTAATATGATTTAAGTATCAGTATGTATAAAGCAAGAATAAACACAAAAATTCCTTAGAGACCTCGACAACAGGGTTTCAAGGCAAAAAAAAAAGGTTTGAGAACTAATCTCCACTGTACAATTGTCTAGTGTCACCTTTAGATGTTGCCAGTCCCTCATGACTTGACCCATACAAAGAACACCAGTGCGCCTGTTGGCAACTCCTTTGCATTTACTTTCAGTGCCTCCAGAAGAGAAGCCTACATATATGAACAGTTTGTTCTTTCTTTGAGGATTCAAAACCTGAACTGTGTTAATCTCTAAATCACTGGTTGTAGAATTTTTCTTGGCATAAATCATTTAGCCACCTCAAATCCCCTTTGCTATGAGGCAGGCTCTGAACAAATAATAATTTGTTCTTAAATCAGCTTCGAAATTATTTTTGCTATCTTTCTCTGAAAGCCAGGTTATTGGTGATTGAATTCTAAGACTAGTCCCCCAATAATCCTTGCCTTTGTATAATCGCCATCCTTAGCACAGTAGGTGGAAATGTGAGAAGCTGAGACTGACTCCTGGGCTGACACACAGCAGAAAAAATGTGGACCTTATTTCTACCAGTACAAAAATTCAATCCTGCCAACAACCGAATTGAGCCTTGATATTGATTCTTTGTCAGAGTCTCTTGATAAGACATCAGCCCAGCCAAAACCTTAATTTCCCGCTTTGGAGACCCTAACCAGAGAGCCCATCCAAGACTACCTGGACTTCTGGCCTACAGAATTGTGAGCCAAGTTATTACAATAACCTTTTTTAAGCTGTTAAATTTGTCATAGCTGTTATGTAGAAATTGGAAACAAAGACACTAAGGTAGTGGTTCTTAACCTTCCTAATGCCTCGACCCTTTAACACAGTTCCTCATGTTGTGACCTCCCCAACCATAACATTATTTTCGTTGCTACTTCATAATTGTAATTTTGCTACCATTATGAATCAGGCGACCCCTGTGAAAGGGTCGTTCAACTCCCAAATGGGTTGCAACCCATAGGATGAGAACTGCTGCACTAAGGGGAGTTTGATTTAATATGGCTGAGTAGTTGGAGGCACTATGAAACCCTCTTTAAAGCAACTTCTGAGAAAGTGGATGAGATTCAAGAACCTGAACTCTGGACTTCCCCTGAGAAGCAGAAATCTCTGCCAATCACACCCTGGTGTTTCAGAAGGAGGAATTGACGAAAAGAATCCTCCCCAAAGTCACTGATTCTGTGCCCAGAAAGACACCTGTGGAGCTGCCCCTTTCTCCAGTGCTCCATGTCTCAGCTGAGAGAAGGGGAAACAGTGAGCTGACACCTGCCTCTACATCTGTTCCTAAATTAACACCTAAGAGAACACCAATGCTTCTCCCCCAACATACTTTGAGGGGTGGTGGTGGTGGTGGTGGTGGTGAAGGTAGAGTCTGCACTGGGAGGGAGCAAATGTGATTGAACTCTGGTGGAAAATTCACAGGTTGAGAGAGTTTCCACCTGCTCACTGTATTCCCCTATTAGATAGGGAAGCTCAGATCAGCTGGAGACTGAATCTCAATGCCCTGCTGTGAATCTCGGGAACTGAACTGTGGCAAAACTTCCCCCAGAACACCAAGGAGATGAGCCAGCCATGGAGCAGGTCAAAATTAGGTGGGCCTACATCTGAGGGAAAATCCACATGGGACAGTTTGGGCATCTCTCTGAGGACCCAGGATTCAAAGTTCTATCACCTGCCTCTCTGTCAGCAACACCCAAATAGATCCCACCCTGCTGTGACATAGAGTCAGTGAATACAACTTGTGTGGAAAAGTGGGCAGTGTCTTGGATAGTCTCTTTTGCCCCCTTTCCTGTAGATTGTGTTGATCATTTCCTAGCATTTCTTGGGGGTTGAGGAGCCAGCCTGGAAATCAGGATTGAGGCATGGAAGTATTTCATTGCTTTCCTGTCTTTGGCTACTGCTCAGGGAAACAATTAAGATTCCGGTCAACTAACACACTGAAAGGGAAGAAAGCCAAGGGCAAGACAGTGGTTCAGGCGCCTGCCATGTCAAGAAGCAGGAGGCCAAGAAGGTGGTGAGCCTCTTGTTCGACAAATGGCCTAAGAACCTCAGCATCAGGTAGGTCAGCCAGCCCAAGAGCCACATGACCCGCTTTGTCCGGTGGCAGCACCACATCTGACTGCAGCTGCTGCCAGCCATCCTGTGCCAGCACCTGAAGGTGCCACCTGCCATCAACCAGTTCACCCAGGACCGGGATCACCAGCTACCCAGCTGCTGAAGCTGGCGCACAAGTACAGGCTGGAAACTAAGCAGGAGAAGCAGAGGCTGCTGGCCTATGCTAAGAAGAAGGCTGCTAGCAAAGGGGGCGTCCCCACCGAGGTTTCCTGCCCTCCCAGCCCAGGTCAACACCGTCACCACTCTGGTGGAGAACAAGAAGGCTCAGGGATGGCGATTATACAAAGGCAAGGATTATTGGGGAATAGTCTTAGAATTCAGACCACCAATAGCCTGGTGGTGGTTGCACACAACATGGATGCCATTTTGCTGGTGGTATTCCGGTCCTGTCAGGCCGAGCTGGGGTGCCTGGTGCACAGAAAGACCTACCCCTGTGTCGCCTTCACACAGGTGACCTCCGAAGACAGAGGAGCTCTAGCTAAGCTGGTGGAAGTCATCAGGACCAACTAGAGTGACAGATCTGATGAGATCCGTCGCCACTGGCGTGGCAATGTCTGGGCCCCAAATCAGTGACCAACGTCAAAGAACTTGCCACCAAGCTGGGCTAGTGCGCATGGCTGATTTTCTGTACATAACAAATCAAATTAGTCCTTCAGTCTTGGTCTGTTTGACATTGTGGGTTGGAGTGTGCATCAAGGCAAGCATGTGTTCAGAGCTATGGGAAGGGAAAGTGTAATCAGTGTGTTGGTCTTATCTGCTCAGATCTCAAAGCTGAGCCAGCAAGGGGGTGGGGGTGGGGGATATAGAGGACTCTTTGTGAGAAACAAAAGGAAGAAAAATAACGAAAGAAAATCCCAAACATTAAATTCTTTAATTGCTAGAACTAGTATGCCTTGTATATATAACTATATTTCATTTATCCATTCATCAGTTAATGGGCATTTAGATAGTTTCTACTTTTAGGAAATTATGAACAGTCCTGCTATGAATGTTCATGCAAAAATATTGGTTTTTATTTATTTTTGTATACTATATACCTAGAAGTGAAATTGCAAGATTGTGTTAGACAGGGTTCTC